TCTCCTGCGTTCCTGCTCTTGGCATTATCAGTGCATCCAACACATACGCCCTACAACATCAGGTACTGGGGGGGGGGTGTGCTAAGTCAAAAATAGGCAAAATTTTTAAATGAGGAGCTTATATTCACGTGGAAAAGAAGAAAACCAACAAGCAAGACATGAAAGATAAAGCAGGAAGTCATGAGACTTGTGTGCGGGGCAGAACACCTACTGCACGGGGACTGCCCAGCAGCAGGTTTAAGTGGAGGCGTGAAGGACAAGGAGGAGCCGGCCAAGCAGAGTGAGGTGGTGAAGAACATCAGACCAGGGGGACAGAGGCCTCCCCAAACACTTTGCTTCCATGCTTCCTTCACAACCCATCCTGTGGTCACACCCTGGATCCTGTCACCAGAGCCTGCGCCCGTCCCGCGGGGCTACCTGAACCTGCCGTCCTCTGACAACATGCTCTCCTCAGAGCTCTTGCTCCGTCGCTCCCACCTCATCCAGAGTCTAATCCCCTGACTGTGTTCTCCACTAAGGCTCTTTTACCACCTTCATTTAACCATGCAGTTCATAAGTCCCCTCTTGCACATCTGTTCATTCCCTTGACTTTCCCTCCGTCGCTCAGCTAGCCTGGCAAGGTCCCAATCACTCTGCCTTTTCCGAGACGGTGTCTGTGCCGGCAACAACTGCTAGACACCAGCCAGACGGGGTGGGAGCGCTGGAAGGTCACGACCACTCACCTCACAGGGGTCGTCTGCACTGCCCGGCAGTGCTCAATTCTGCAACAGTTCCCTCCTCCCCTCTCTAGTGACTGTTTGGTACCTTCTCCTCTCCAACATTTTACCCTACTCTGGACCTTGGTTTTCATGATACCCTACTATAACGGCTTTCCCTCCTATCTGTCTGATTACTCCTTCGTTGCTTTTGTCATTTCCTCTTCTGATCTAAAGTTTGGAGAGCTTCAGGTCCCAGACAGGGGCCATTCACCCTCATTCTTCTGTGTTCTTCCCAGGTGACTTTATCTACTCCCATGACTTTAAATACCATCGATATGCTAATAACTCCCACGTTTCTTTCTTTCCCACCACCTCTTACTTTGAAGATCACCCCTCTAGTTTGAACCACCATCATATCCTGCTGATATTATTATAATAGCTCTTGATTTCTCTCCTAATAGTCCAGTCTCTCCATGGTAACCACAGTGCTCTTTTTGAGGTATAAATCAGATCATGCTATTGCCTACTTAACACCCTTCCACCATTCCCCCGATTCTCCGAACAAAATCCTAAAATGTGGCCTGTTAGTTTCCTGTGGCTGCCATAACAAATTGCCAAAAACCGGGAGGCTTCAAACAACAGACATTTATTCTCTCACTGTGCTAGAGACTAGCCGTCTAAAACCAAGGCGCTGGCAGTACCGTATTTCCTCTAAAGACCCGAGATTCCATTCCTGGCCTCTTCCGGCGTCTGGTGCCTTCGGGAGCGCCTTGGCGTGCAGCTCGGTCGCTCCAATGCTCTGCCTCTGGTTTCATGTGGCTTCCGCTCATCTCCTCTGTGTGTGTCTTACAAGAACACTTGTCATTGGATTTAGAGCCCACCCAGATCATCCTAGATGATTTCTACTAAAGATCCTTAACTTAGCCCTGGCCGGTTTGGCTCAGCGGTTAGAGCGTCGGCATGCGGTCCGGAGAGACCCGGGTTCGGTTCCCGCTAAGGGCACGTACCTCGGTTGCAGTTTGTCCCCGGCCCTGGTTGGTCGTGAGGGTGGCATCCACCTGATGTGTCCCTTTCATGTCGATGTTTCTCTCTCTCTCTCACTCTACCTGAACAAAAAAATGGGAAAATGTCCTCGGGTGAGGATAAAAAAAAAAAAAAAAAAAGATCCTTAACTTAGTCACATTTGCAAAGACCGTTATTCACAAACAATGTCACATTTACAGGTTCTGGGTTTAGGACCTGGGCATATCCTCTGGAGGACCCCCACTTAACCCACTCCAGCCTCCCGTCCTCCAAGGCCTCGCCGAGCTGCCCCTGCCTCCCCGCAACCCCGTCACCCAAAGCTCTCCTCGCAGCTCTGAGTGTGCTGGGGGCCTTGCCTCTCCGTGAGGACCAGCTCTTCCCCGTCCTCTTCACATAGGCTACTCTGTCTCCAGTCTTTGCCTAGCTAACGGCTCCCTCGTGGCTTGAATAAATCTAACTTCCTCAGAGAGGTGCTCTTTGACCCCATAAACTTAAGTCTGTTGACACAGTTAATATCCCTCAAAGCTCCTTGTTCTCTTTCTTCGCAGCATTCAATTGTTTTCCTGTCTCGAGCTGTACCTGCATTTGTGTGTTCCCTTGTTACTGTGGTCTCTAGACTGGACTGTGACTCCTTCGAACCACTTCTGGCACGCCTGCTTTGTGTGCCCGAGCGGAGGACAGCATCTGGCACCCAGTGGCAATAACCAAACAAAGGCATACTAATAAAACAGTACCTCCCATCCCCCTTTTGAACACAATCAGTGAGTGAAAACCAGTGGGTTAGGGGACGCTGGGCCTGCAGCAGACCTCGCTCCCAGGGCAGCCGGAGGAAGAGAGCACACTGGGCACGGACGAGACGAGGCCGGATTACTAGCACGGTACAAGGACTCCTCCAGTCTTCGGCTCTGCCATGAACAAACTACATACCTCAGGAACTCATTCACCTTTGATGATAATCTCTACCTCCTGCTCAAAAGGATTAATTGAGGCCCTGGCTGGTTTCGCTCAGTGGTTAGAGCATTGCCCCCACCACCACCACCGAAGAATCTGGGGTTAGATTCCTGGTCAAGGGCACGTGCCTGGGCTGCAGGTTTGATCCCCGCCCCCATCGGGGAGCGTGCAGGAGGCAACCAATGTGTCTCTCTCACATCGATGTTTTTCTCCCTTCCACTCTCTTTTTAAAAATCAATAGAAAAAATATCCTCGGGCAGGATTAAAAAAAAAAAGAATTAATTGAGGTTTTTCTGACTCTTAGAAAAAACTACAATACAAACTGATTTCATCCTGCAGCCTAATACTAAGCTGGGAGATTCCTGTTATATCTAAATTTCTTAATTCTACTGAATTACAAAATGACTCAAGTATTAATACTAAATACTGCTGGTCTGTGTTAAAGTCTAGTATGCATAGAGGGACACAGAAAAGATCTTTTCTAGGACACAGGAAATTCTCCGGGCTCTTTATTACCTTGAAGTTGTTTTTATTTTTTTTTAATTGTGATATTAGCATGTGACTAATAAAATAAAATTCCCTTTTATTTATTTATTTATTTCAATCTTTACCGGGGGACATGTTTTTTTCTATTTATCTTCAGATACAGTGGGAGGAAGGCAGGAAGAGAGAGAGAAACATTGACTGGTTGCCTCCCACACGGCCCCTGCAGGGCCTGGGAGGAACTGCAACCGAGGTACGTGCCCTTGACTGGAATGGAACCCGCAACTCATTGGTCCGAGGGCCGACGCTCTAACCACTGAGAAAACTGGCCAGGGCTGTAAATTCCCTTCTAAAGTGTACAATTCAGTGTTTTGCCCAAAGTCGTACCACCACTGTCACCATCTAATTCCAGAACATTCTCATCACCACCACTCCCTTGCCCTAAAGACACCCATCCTCATTAGCAATCATTTTTGCTATTCCTCCCTCTCCCAGTCTCTGGCAACCACTACTGTACTATGGTTTTTCATCTACGGACTTTCCAGTTTGTTTTTCATATTCATGAGACAAACACAGAGACATGAAATGATTTGCACAGGCTTGCAGTCACCTAGTAAGAGAGCAAGATTGTAGCACGTATTTACAGCAACTTTTAAAATAGTATAAAAAACAAGAGATCAGTGAAGGTATATTTAGCTCAACTATACATGTGTTCAGTGTAGCTGTAAGACCCCTGATGCAGGAGTCCTTAGACTAGTCGTCCTCAGGCAGTGTGCCGGGCTCGGGGAGGCAGGTGTGCAGGGTGTCAGGCAGGAATCACTGAAGAGGAAGAAACATGCTACTGGTGCACAGGAATTACACTCAGGACAGGGTGATGCAGACAGAAGGCTGAATAAGTGTGAGGCTACGAGGTTTATAGGACAGAATTTTTTTTCTTGCAGCCCAGGGTTGTGAAATTACTGCTGATGTGCCCAGGTGCCCACTTGCTTTCATTTATAGTGCCCTCGACAGGTCCCAGAGATCCCCGGTTATTCCCAGTTTGTTTGAGTAGTTAATACATAATGCTTACACCACCTCAGAATACTTGCTGGTGGATGACACCTTGCAAAATAATACAGAAAACTTGACTTTTCTTTTTTTTTATATTCTACTGTTTGCATTCTCAATTAAGTTAAAGAATTACAAGCTTAACTTACTTCTGTACCATCAACAAATGTGTACACAGAGACAGTGATGCCATAGACTAAAATAATCAGACTCCATTTGCAAAAATAATTAGGCACATATTTTATTTTCTGTCCTAATCGATATTGCAAATACCATTAACAAAAGGAAAAAAGGATTGAAACCACTCATCACACAGAAAAACATTCATTGTTCAAAACAGATTAATCTGAACCTCAACATTCTTTGTGCTCATTTAAAAATATTAGAACAGCAACTCAAAAAGACAAACAAGTCAAAATTAAGTATTTTATCAATTCAAATTGAAATCCTAAATCAACTAGGACTATACAACTTAAAAATAACCTTGTCTTATTTTGATTAGCCAACATATAATGAATACAATTTTTTTTCTTTATCGATTTTAGAGAGAGAGGAAGGGAGGAGAGAGAGAAACATCGATGAGAGAGAACATCGATTAGCTGCCTCCTGCATGCCCCCCACTGGGGATCAGACCCACAACCTGGGCATGTGCCCTGCGAACTGATGACCTCTTGGCACATGGGTCAATACTACCCCTGAGCCACAGTGGCTGGGCCAAATTTAAAAAAAAAAAAATTATTTTGAGTTGTAGAGATACTACAGATGACTCGCTTGTCATTAAACACACACAAACACACACACACACACACACTAACTTCTAAAAATGCCTATTTAGATGGTAAAACTATTCATAGACATGGATACTAAATGACATAGTGACTGGCCATTTAAGATTGAAACTTCTTGTCTAGCAAATATTTTACTAAAACTGTTAGTAACCATGTAAACTAACTTAAAAGGTCAATTCTTAATTATCCACAACAAAAGAGAGCTTTGGTACCAATAAGTTAGAAGTAGGGCATCAAAATATATTTTGTTTGTGGTTTTATAGTGTGCTTTCAGAATTAAATTGGAATTGTCTATGTATGAAAAGTGAAACCCTCATTCTTCTGTTACCTACGTGAACAGCCTAACTGCTCAAAATTATTGATAAAAATAAAGCACTAGCCTAACATTTCTTCTAAAAAGATGAATGGATCATGCCCTGAAATTTAGACCAAAGGTAAATAAAGAATTAAGCACTACTTTACTTTTCAGTCTCCCTTTCCCTCTTGATGTGAGCAGCAAGATACTAGAATAAAAATAACTCCAATAAGTACTTCCAAAATATATCAATTTTAGTTCTCCCAGTTGATAGGGGGCTAAGAAGAACAACAAAAATACATTTTTAAAAATAAAAGGTAATTTAATAATTTAAAAATGGCAGACTGAGCAAGGGGAGAGGGTAGGTTTAGGAGAATATCTATTCTCAGTCAACTCTTCTGTAAAATTCAGAGCACTATTATAAGTCCTCCTTTAAATTACACCCAGGACCATGCACACAGCACATGGAATCTGGGCAATTCTTTGATAAAATTTGAGGTTGCTAGATAATTTACAGACAGTTAATAACACATTTTCACTTTAAGAAGCAAAAAAGAGGCAAAATATTCAAGATATTGAGCAATTTTACTTTTTGAAATGGCTATCCTAAATTTTTTTCTTAATTTCAGATTTTGCAAAGTTGCTGCTCTCTAGGTCATTAAGTAGACATTGAAAACAACTTTTCATATGAGTACTATAGACTAGTTCTTTACGAAGCATGCATTTTTCAAAAATCTAGACCAAAGGGAACTAATTGATATATAATTCTGAATTTATCCTGTGATCTCTATATCACATTGGAATACAACCAGTAAAAATACTTCTCAGTGTGTCTACTTCTCAAATTATTTAGTTTGGGAAATAGTTATATCCTTAGCCCAAAAGGTGACTTCCAGTTGGAAAGATTAAAGATAGAAACAAAAATTGGTTCAACAACTGTCAAAATGAAATGAATACAGTGACCACAACAACTTTCCACTCAATCTAAAATAAGCCACTGCAGGGTGAGCGCAGCTCACTCAAGTTTTACAACCATTTCTCTTTTCCAGCTTCATAAACGGACTGAACGTTGCTCAACAACATTACCTATATTGAAAGTGAAGAGATAAAAAGTGTTGTAAAGATTGCACAATGAATGAATCTGAGATGGGTGTAAGGTATAATCATAACATTTCCAAGCTGGAAGGGACCTTCAAGACCTAATCCAGCAGCTACATTTTGCAGATGAGGAAACTGAGGCCCAAACTGAGTCATTTGGTCAAAGTCACAAGACCAAAGTCACATTCCTGGGCGGAGCCAGTCAGTCATTCTCCCACTTACTGAAAAAGCTAACTAAGTGCCAGGCTGAAAACAAGCTGGAAGGCAGCAGTCCCCATTGTCAAGACAGGCTTTTCCCCTTGTCTTCTTAAAATAAATCCTGAAATGCCCTAATCAGCAAGAACTCACAGAAGAGTCCAGCAGCCTTTGCAAAACAGGGCCTACTTTCGGTTTCACACGTTTCAGTAAACACAGTTAGGTTTAAACTGTCAACTTCTGAGAGGCCTCAATTGTATTTACTTTAAGTGATTAAGCATTAAACAAAGGGAAGGAAGTACAGTATTCTGAATGAGTCCCTCACAAGTACATTCATAACTTAAAGAAATGCAATCTGAAAATGCCCTAATACACAAACAAGTTCACAGACAGGATAGGTTAAGAAATCAAAGTGATTTGAGGTATCAGTATAGATCAGTTAAGTCCAACAGCTCAAGTTTACAAAGTGTTGAATGCAAAGATCTCTCCATTTCATTCAGCTATGGGTATATTTTTCTGAGATGTCTATGTGTTAAAAAGACCTCTAAACTCACATTCAAACGAATGCCCTCTTCTAATGACACGCATATCTAAACCAGGCCTTTCTCCTTAAAATCAATTTATTTTGATTTCCATTTGATTTTTAAAAATTAGAATAAAAAATGAACAAAATCTAAAATTTAATGTGCTGTCTAAAGAAATTCAAATTCTATGTACAATCAAAACAGCTATAGCTCAAACTGCACATTTGAGTTTTGTTAAAAAAAAAAAAAAAGAGGGATGTGCAGTGAACTTACCCATCAACATAAATCATCTCTTATTTTACTTGGACTTTTTACATTCTTTAATATCATCTGGCACTTAAATGTTTTGTGTATCTCAAGTCATCTTCTTTAAGGAGAAGAAGCCATATTGACAGAGCTCTGAAATAAAACAACCTATAAGTAAGGCGCTTCCCAATATGAAACAGCAGCTCTCTGTGCATCAGTTTCAGTGTTCTATACCGAAATGAACCACAGATTACAAGGCGCTCTCGCAGATGACCACTGGGCGATCTCTGATAAAACAGAACCTTCACTGAGGCTCTCTGACTTTCCTGAATATATTGTCAGCTCAGGACCAAAGTGCTGCTGAGCTCTTTTAGTTCTCAAACTTCCAGATTTGATTTTTATCTAATGCATCACAAGTCCTCATCTGAACATCAGGTCGGCCCTCAGATGTCCGATAAGCACTGAGACACAGTCCTGAGTTTGGATGAAAAATGGTTCCATCTTCTTTAAAATGCCAAATGATGTTTGTTGGCACAGGGAACCCATCTTTTGGACAATTTTGCATTCCTACATGATTTTTTTGCTCAGGAACCTCTGCACATAACTCAGTCACAGAATTAAACCTGATTTCTTTGTTTGAAGTGTATTCAAAGAACTGATTGCCTCCTTGACCATGGCATCCGAACAGGGAAAGGTTAGCACCTGTGGGGTTGCTGTCAGGGGCATTATAATCTAAGCACTCAGAAGAGATCCCCAGACTGCGGACAGCTCCGTGCCAGCCTGGCCTATCCTCTGGAACGTGTAAATTCGAAAACACATTTTTCAAATACCAGTCAAAGCTCTTGCACTTCAGCCGTTCTCGTAGTAATATTCTTTCAGAAATATCACCATAAGCTTCTTTCCTTGCTGGAGGGTTTCGATTGTAGAAATGCTCTTTGTACTCATCCATCCACACTTCTGCTGCCCGAGCAGTGTTCTGCAGGAAATTGGGCCGAGCATATGGAGCCCGCTTAGGGAATACATGGCCCACATGGGAACACGGGTGGATCTCCAATTTACCTCCACACTGCCACACCCTAAAAGACAGTTCCAGGTTTTCACCTCCCCACACTTCCATTCCGGTGTCATATGTTCCAAGGTACTCAAAATATTTCTTGCTGACAGCAAACAGTCCTCCGGCCATGGTGGGCGATCTGATTGGCTCAATTCTCGATTTCTGCCTGTCCCTTTCATGTTTGGGGACAGAATGCCACTGGAATGTTAACCGCCAGTCAAACCCGCCAATCATGGGTTCCCCAGTCTGCATATAAAATTCAAAAGTATTCCAATCAATGGTATCTATAACAGGACAAACAATTGCTGTTTCATCCTCACCAATCCTTTCCAAAAGTGGTTCCAACCAACCAGAATTACACTCACAGTGACAATCCAGGAAAGTGAGAACATCCCCAGTAGCAAAAGTGGCCCCAATCAGGCGGGCCCTAACCAGCCCTTCCCGCTTATTTGTTCTAATCAAGCGGACTCTATTGAGATTGCTGATATAAGTTTCAAGTTGTGTCTTCAAATAAACTCTGTCACTCAAGTCATCCACTAAGATGATCTCCTTCAGAAGGACCGCAGGAGAAGTTTCTAAAACACTGTGGATGGTGCGGAGCAAAGTCGACCAGGCTTCGTTGTAGAAAGCAATGATAACCGAGGTGGTGGGAAGTCTTCTATAGTAAAACGTCTTAGATTTGCACTCATACATTCTTTTATCCTCTATGTGGCGGTGCAAGGAAATTCTGTCACTGAGGTAAATATTGATGGCATATCTCTCAATGAGCTCTTCTTGCTGCTTCAGTTCAGCCTCGTTGAGCTGGAGTTTGCTGGCTTTCCCCCACTCCCCAAGTGCATGGAAATCTGCAGGAGGCTTCTCATAAAGCGGTCGGGACAAATCCTCTGCCTTCTTCCCGGGGTCTGGGAGCTGCCAGGCAAGGCCAGCTCCTTGGGAGGCATGGAAAGTGGAGACGGAGAGTTCCACCAGAACATAGGCCACAGTTAAAAGCGCCAGCAGCAGGCAGCTTTTGCATGCCCAGGTCCACCTCACGGCCATCCGGATCCTCATGGCTAGGGCGCAGACGCGGCCACCGGAGTCACCACGCAAGGGAAGGGCTGCGGGATCCGCCACTTGATTTCCCGACTCAGGTAGGAGCAAACTTCCGACCAGGTCCCTCCTTTCTTGCAGGTCCTCGGTCCCTTTCCAGCCACAGGGGCTTCCCGGGGGTCACCCGAGACCTCTCAGTAATCCGCCTCCGGCATAGCTCCGACTCCTCTACCACTTCCTCCCGCGCGCGTCTCACAACTTTTCACAAACTCTGTAGCCAACACCCCACCCTCCTCCCAGGGCGGAGGACAAAGCCCTCCCCTTGCCCCTCGCGCCTCCTGGTGGTTAGTTCGCGAAGGTGCCCTGCCAGGCTCGGAGACTGCGGAGCCAGGATGGGCCGGGGACCATCCTGACCCAGGTGGCCCGGCTCCAGCCCACTCGCACTGCGACTGCACCCGCTGCACCGGGCTCCCCGAGCCCCCGCCGCCCTCCACCGCCACGGAGGTCCTCGGTGGTTCTAGGGGCCCAGCGTGGACAGGAGACAAGGTTTCCGACCAGCTGAGCTTTTGCCCCATCGCAAAAAGAAAAAAAAGAGAATACAACTTACCAAGTTGTTTGCCGTTGGGACTAAAGTCCACAGAGGTGATCGCAGCTTTGTGGCCCTTAAAATAACGCTCCAGAACAGGGTCCTCCTGGGAAGAAAGTTGTCAAGTTCTGAAAGCAGGTGCGGACCTCAGATTCTGGGGGTCGGGATGCACGCGGTCCCCTCCCGCGGGTCAGGCCTGGGAACGGCAGGCAGTGGCCCCGCCAGCAGGACCCCCGCGTGGCGCACAGGGGGACGCGGGGCGCCAACCTCCCCGCAGGGGCAGGGCCGCAGGGGCCGGCCGGAGACATCCTCGGTTGACGCCACTCGGAACAGAGCGCACCTGGGATGCCCCGGCAGCTCGTCTGAAATGCGGGTTCCCGGGGCCCCCCGCTGCTCGCAGTCACCGGAGCCCGCGTCCCCGGCTTTGGCACTTTTTAAAAACCTCCCAGGTGATTCTGACGCAGGCGCTCCACGGGAACCCTGAGAATTCTGGGGACCGTGCGACTGCGGGGCTCCGTGCCGAGCTCCGACGGGAGCGGCGCCCCGGGGAGCACAGGGGAGACGCGGGGTCCGGGGCGAGGGGCGAGGAGCTAGAGGTTCTGGACCCGGGAGCACACCCCGGCCTCCAGCTCCCTCCAGGTGCGGGCACGGCCCTGGCCCCGCACGCAGCCCACGGGACCGGCTTCGGGGAGTCGCTCCCCAGCCCGTCCTTACCGGGGCGGAGGCCATGGTGGGGGGCGGCGGGCGCCCAGTTCCTGCTGGTGGGGGAAACCAGGGGAAAGAAGGGGATGGGGTGGGATGGGGGACCGTGCGGCGCCCGGAACCGTCGGCCTGGAGCAGCGGCGCCTCCCGGTCACTACAACAACGGCGGCCCAATCAAACCCCGCGCTCCAGGCGTGGCCAGCCGAACCCCGAGGCACCCCGAGGCTCCCCGCACCGGAGGCCCGCGGGCGTCCTCAGGGGGGCAGGCGGGGCGCCCCGAGGCAGGTGCGACCACACACGGAATCGTAGTTTATTAACACTCGCGCCCCTCCTGTCTTGACACCCCAAAGGAGTCGTCACCAGGACAGGAACAAAACCGGTGGGAGGAAGAGGGTAAGAAGGCTGCGATCGATGCAATCGGAGTTCTACTGCTCGTTAAAGAGACAGCGCCGCGAATTCGGCGGGTCGCTGCCAGCTTCTTACCAAGGGGAAGATTTGATCAGAAGTGGGGCAGCTTCCTAGTTATTAATATAAGCAAAGGAGCTAAACCTCTGGAGAACAGATTTGAATTTATTTAATTACTATTCTAAACGCAATGCCCTGCTTGATGTAAATACAGATCCTGGATAAATGTGATGACTGAACGAATGAATGCTGTGCATCCACTTGATGTTTTTCTATGTTTCTATTCTAATCAGCTCATTTGTATATGTTTTTAGAGCTGCCAATTTATACAGCAGCATATCTAGAGTCTTTGGGAAGAATTAGAAATAGACATTTTTGTTTTGTTTTGTTTTGTTTAAATTACTAGGCCACATAGTAACAACAGCTGTTTCAGGCTTCCTTACACATAATATCACTTGAGCTTCAGCAACACTGTAAAGGTGATAGAGTTACAAAATGTTACCAACCTTCACAAACATAAATTTCATTCTTAGATGTGTTATACGTAATTGTCAGGGAGAAGCTCTTTCCATTCCAAATCCATATTCTTTTGTGCCCTGCCTCAGAGCATGAAGAACTCAGCTGAAAATTACATAACAGAATAAGAATTCAGCGGGTAAAACACATATTCTATGCAAATGAAAGCTATACTACACACCTTAATTACAATTTCTCTACCTGTTGTCTAGTGATAGAATTTAGTTTTAATGAATACTGTACTTAGCAATTAGGCAGATAGGAAATTGCGTTAGATTGCAGTATTAGTTTAACTCAAGAATGTGCTGAGTATCTGTTCTGTGACTCTCAGGGATCAAAGGTGACTGAGATATCTTCCCTACCCTCAAGAACTCAACAATCTAGGTTTCTGAGACTCGCATTTTAGCACACGTAGTGATGCTTTAGGGGACCCCATTCCCAGAGGTGCTGATTCAACATATATGGGGTGGGATCCAGGGCCCTACAGACGTAAGAAGCCTCGTAAGTGATTGCTCCAGAGTCCAGGCTGTGTACAATGAGAAGCACTGCTCTAGTCTAGGAGGTGATGCATCAAGAGTGTTGATACCGGCAACTTGTCAGCAAACTGGCAGGACTCTAAGCCTTGCTATTTATTCTCAATCTAGGTATGTTGTGGTTGTTACTCCTCACCCAAGGATACTTTTTTTATTGATTTCTAGATAGAGTGGAAGAGAGGGAGGGAGGGAGGGAGGGAGGGAGGGAGGGAGGGAGGGAGGGAGGGAGAGAAAAATCTATGTGAGAGAGACACATAGATTGGCTGCCTCCCGAACAACCCGGACCAGGTTGGGAATTGAACCTGCAACTGTGCCCTTGACCGGAATCAAATCCTCCCCCTTTGGTCTGAGGGCCAATGCTCTAACCATTAAGCAAAACCATTCAGGGTGGTATGACTTTTTTTTTTTTTTAAGTCTTACATACTTTAAAATAATGCTGGATTCTAGTGGGACTATACCATGGTATAGCACTGTGGAAAACAGTTTGGCAGTTCCTAAAAACATTAACTCTTAGGTATGTACCCAAGAGTACTGAAGGCAGTACTTGGAACAGATACTTGCACACTAGTGATTATAACAGCATTATTCACAATAGCCAAAAACTAGAAACACTCACATGTTTAACAGATGAATTGATAAAAAAAGAAAAAAATGTGATACATACATGCAATGGACTATTATTCAGTCATAAAAAGCAATGAAGCTCTGACACAAGTTACAACAGAGGCGAACCTTGAAAATGTCATGCTAAGTGACTAAGCCAGACACAAGGAACATATGTCGTATGATTCTACTTGTATGAAGCATGTTGAATAAGCAGATTCATAGCGACGAAAAGTGGAATGGAAGTTACTAGGGGCTGCAGATAAGGGAGAATGGGGAGTTTTTGATTAATGGGTGGAGAGATTCTGTTTGAGATGAAGAAGTTCTGGAAATAGACAGTAGTGATGATTGTAAAACAATGTGAATGTATTCAAAGCCAGTAAACTTTACACTTAAAAATAGTTACAATGGCAAACTTTGTTATGGATATTTGACTACAATAAAAAAATAATTCTAGATACTCTGAGGAATAACCCCAACCTCAGGATGTCTCACAGCCAAGATATGACTAATATTGGCTACAGTAGATAAACAGAAAAAGAAACAGTTGCAGATGTAGAAACTAGCTCAAAAGAAAACAGAACTTTAAGTACAGATTTTCCTTTAAGTCTTTTAGTTAGAAAAAGTAAACTTTTTACCATTATTCAAAGATATATGTTTTTAATTGAATGAAAAAAAAAATCACCTATTGTTCCATCACCTAAAAGTTGACTTTTTAAAAATTTATCATCTACCCATCGTATGCTCACTACACGCCAGGTACTCTTCTAAGTACCTTACAAATTCTGGCATTTAATCTTCATTAGAATCTTATTAGAGAGATGCTACCATTGCTGTTCCCATTTTACGGATGAGGACATTGATGTGCAGAGACATTAAGTTACTTGCTCTGTACACAGCTAGGAAGTGGCAGAGCTTTAGGTCTTGGTGGGTGCCTCCAGACTCCACTCTCCTAGTCACTGTCATCATGCCTTGTGCATGATTGCAAGCGTATTGTAAATATGTAAAATTCTGTATCCTAGACTAACAGTAAGTTTACAAAAAGAAAAAGGTAACATCTGCTTTGTTTCCATTCCACGGTCCTCATCTATTACTCCAAACTGCCCTTCCTTTGCTGCTTTTCCATATCTGACTGGATCCCTTCTTGCTATTCCTCACCTTTGCAAAGAGCAAAAGCTCAGATGGACATTTGGGAATATGGCCAAATTGGTTTTTGTTTTTTTTTTTCCTCCTAACCCCGAGTTCAAATAGTTTTACTTGTGGCAGTAATTATTTGGGACTGCCTCAAACTGCCAACTTAATAACCTGAGTGGGAGCCAAGACAGTTCACAATATTTGAAAATCTACAAGGTATCATTGCAAGCCAAGTACTAGGTAGGGGAAACGGATCCTTTCATTAGCCCTCCTTTTACAGATCCCCCTCAAATCAGAAACTGCATTTATCTACCTGAGTACTACAAAGGGTTGTTTTTCTTATAGCTCTACGCATTCCTAGGTTCATTCACTTCGGAAGCGAGAATTCAGGCAGAGCACAAAAGTGCCATCTACTGTCCACATTCCTGCTTGGCACTTGGAGTGAGAATATTTTGTAGCCTGTTTGCAGGAAGTATAACACTCTTTGGAATGCAGTGCTCCAACGTATAGGAGAGCACACAGAAAGGAAAGTTGCAGATCTGTTTGTTTTAAAATACATGTTTTTATTGATTTCAGAGAGAGAGAGAGAGAGAGAGAGAGAAGGAGAGGGAGAGGGAAAGGGGGGGAAAGAGAGAGAGAAACATAGATGTGACAATGCTCAGCCAACTGAGCCACACCAGCCTGGGCATTTGCAGACATGTTTGAATTATTAAAGTATTAACCTCTTTTTTTTAATTTTTAATTTTTTAAAAATTCTCACCCAAGGATGTTTCTTTATTGACTTTTAGAGAGAGTAAGTGGGGACGGAGTGGGGGGGGGGGTGTCCATAAGTTGCCTCCCTTATATGCCCTGACCAGGGATTGATCTGCCATTTGACCCAGTGATCCCACTTCTAGGAATATATCCTAAGAAGCCTGACACACCAATCAGAAAGAATATAGGTACCCCCATGTTCATAGCAACACTATTTACAATAGCTAAGATCTGGAAACAGCCCAAGTGTCCATCAGTAGATGAGTGGATAAATAAAGCAGTGGTACATATACACAATGGAGTACTATGCAGCTGTAAGGAAGCAAGATCTCTTATCCTTTGAGATGACATTGAGGGACCTGGAGAGTATTATGCTAAGTGAAACAAGACAACAGAGAAAGACAAATATCACATGATCTCACTTATTTGTGGAATATAATGAACAAAACAAGCTGAAGAACAAAATAAAGCCAG